GGGAGTCGCCTACGCCTACTCCCTAACCCTAACCCTAACCCTAACCCGAACCTGAACCCTAACCCTAACCCTAACCCTAATCCTAACCCTAACCATATCAAATAGTGACCAGGGTACGTTCCGGTATACCGGACCGTACCCAGGGTACGTTCCGGCAGTACCCTGGGGGACATAGACCCTATGAACCTGACTAAGGCTCATAGGGTCTATGTCCCCTAGGGTACTACCGGAACGTACCCTGGGTACGGTCCGGTATACCGGAACGTACCCTGGTCACTATTTGATATGGTTAGGGTTAGGGTTAGGGTTCGGGTTCGGGTTAGGGTTAGGGAGTAGGCGTAGGCGACTCTCTAGACTCGTTAGTGGAGTAGGTGAGGTACGGTCCGGCATATTAGATAGTACCAGGGTACGTTCCGGTATACCGGACCCTACCCAGGGTACGTACCGGCAGTACCCCGGGGGACATAGACTCTCTCAGCCATAGCAGTAACAACTATACCCAATTTCAAACATGTGGGCCAAACGGTTCCTGAGTTATCGTTGACCGTAGCGAAATGTTGACGGACGTACGACGGACGACGACCCATGGCAATAGCTCAGCTTGACGATGTCAAGGTGAGCTAACAAGAGTATATATAGGAGAACAGCTAAAACAACAAAATCGAATGAATCTAGATGGCCATTTTCATTTTTGCCAACAAGTGAGTGTGGCTTGAAAGTAGTCGACTGGCGTGCTCGTCGAATGCAGTGAAATTGCCATAATCTACCTAATTTGCATAATTTAAAAAAAATATCAAAACCCGTGTGATATGTTTTGGGGCCAGTCCTTATTCATTCACATACCAAAAATGAGCAAAACCCGTTGAACCTGAACTGACATGGCCATTTCCATTTTGCCAAAAAGTGGGCGTGGCTCAAAAGTAGGTCAACTGGCGTGCTCCAAAATAGGACGTTCACATCTCTCCCATAGGAGTAACAACTCTATGCAATTTGAAACATGTGGGTCAAACGGTTCTCAAGTTATCGTTGACCGTAGCCAAATGTTGACGCACGCACGCACGCACGTACGACGGACAACGTCCCATGGCAATAGCTCATCTTGACGATGTCAAGGTGAGCTAAAAAGTACAAATGATCTCTTTGTTGCTTCATACTTCCCTGTGTGTTAGTGTCCGTATGTATCCATGTACAGGTTTATACAATTAGTCTAGCTTCTGCAATTGTTTACTGTCGCACTAGTCTACTTTGTATCTCAAAAAAGCAGTTTCATCAATTTTAAGTTGATAATAATGAACAATAATGTACTGTTTTGCATTACACACGATTACTTATAGATGTCAAGACAGCATTTAAGTAGTCCTTGTGCTATCTAGTGACCATGTGCCACTTCATATAGGCATGGCACAAGCCCTGCAGATTTGTGTGAAACGAGATCCGAAATACTTGGGAAACGCATATCAGAATAGTAACAAATATCCCATACCTTTGAATGTAGTAATTTAGCCTCAACAAACATGTTTTACGAAAGGATACAGTCAAGCTTTTTAAAAATGTAAAATTTTACCGATTTTTTATTTTCATGTTTAATCGATGGCTAACACTAGGTGCCACCCCTGTACATACTCATTTCTCCATATATAACGAGGCATGTGAACTTTCAAGCATTTTGATTGTCTGTGTAAATGTGTCGTGAGCTGCTGCTTATGGGGTGCCAACGGTAAAAATATTATTTAGCACATTATTTACTAAATAATGCCTTTATATAATAAATAATATATTATATAAATAAATAATACATTGATTAACATATAATATATATATATAATTAAATAATACATTATTTAACATTAAATATATTATATAAATAATAATACATTATTTAACAATAATATAGTATATAATATATAATATTATATGTTAAATATGTTTTATTTATTTATATAATATATTATATATATATTATATAATTATATATATATTATTATAATTATATAATGCATTATTTAACATATACATATTATATAATTATATAATATATATATACTATATAATTATATAATATATTATATAATTATATAATACATTATTTAACATATAATACATTATTTAACATATAATATATTATATAATGCATTATTTAACATATATATATATATAATTATATAATATATATAGTAATATTATTTTTACGTTCGCACCTGATCTTATATGTATGCCGGTGGGCCCTTACACGTGACAAACGCAGCAAAAAAAAACAAGTGAACATCGGAACATATCAAGCCGTTGAATTTAAAAAATGGATTCGGAGCATGTTTCAAGCTTAACTGCAAGCCTTGTACCAGCTATATAGTCCATTGGCCAAAATGTTGACCCTAGCAATGTTAATTACTTTGGAACTTTTTCAGTTAAATGTGTTCTATATAGTAGAAGCTGATTAGCTTGGTTGCTACCTGGTGCAAACGTGAGCATTCTTGAATTCAAGATGGCCCGCGAGCCGTCGATCTTGATTTTGTCCAATTTACAATTTGTGATCCGATCCCTAGAGTGTCAGCAATACCTCTTTTTAGGGGTTTTCGCGGGCACCGAGAGTCATTTCTGGATCTATTTTTTAGATATGGGTCAATGTCAACGGTCAAAATGACGGTGACCCGCCAAATAAGACACTGTTAATGTAAATTCAAACGAGAAAATAGCAAACAGCCTTAAACATACACCAATAAACGTAGCTTGTCCACAATCCTCTATTGACTCTCATCTCATTACCCTCATCCGCATCATCATATTGTCATTGTCCGCATACGTACAGCCTAGCTCCTCTTCATGTCTTCCGGTGTGCTCTGATTTTTCGTGAACTGACTTACAACAGCGACTCCTCCCTCCACTTGCCAATAGTCTGTGCATGAAAGGCCTGCACGCTTTGCAGCGCACACGTTCCCGCGCTGCATGCCTTGCCCTCTGTGCTGCAGCCTGCAGCTCACTACATCCAGCGTAGCGCTTGAGGGCAACTGGCTGTGTTGAGATGGCGGGTGCTGATGGTGGAGCTTTGAATACTCCAACCAAAGTTGGTAATATGTAGAGCTTCTTCAGGTGCGGTCACTTGGTTTGCTGCTCCACAGTAGCACTCTAAAGGTGAGTCGGAGCCAGCTGCACTGCAGGTTGAACGTCAGTCGGTGGCAGTTCTTCAGTTGTGGCGGAGCTTCTTTTATGGCTGTAAGGGAGGCGATGCTAGCGCATCATTCGTTTGGCGTACACTTTTCTGTCCGTAGAGAAGGAAGAAGGAAGTAGCGTCTGTCTGTCGCTTGGTTGGAGCATCGGTCGCCGCCAACTCTCCCAACGCACTTAATCCAGACGCTGGTATATCTATCTCCAAGGAGCTTAGTGGCTGACTGTTTTCCTTTTCCGAAGGGGTACACACCGTATCGCAGCTCTGACGCATGGACACGAGAAGCTGGCCATGCAAACTTTTGGGCGCTAACGCTCAACGTTTGTTGACTATCCAGGACATTCACCATTCCCAACGTGTTTTCCATTTGAATTTGGCAATGTACCGATCCTTGTATCCGATGTCTTACCAAACCAGCGGAGGACGAAGACGTCTGTTCATCACTGAGGATGCGATTGTCTGGGCCAGTCTTCTGCGCACTTAGCATGTAAGCGCAGAGGTGATGTCTGCCTCAGCATGGTGGTACGACACAGTCCACTCTTCGGTTGACAAGCTGGATGTTGTGAGAACGAGAGTTAGCCATAGATGTTGTTCAGCAGACTCTTCGTTCGCTGGGGCATTGCTGAAAAATAGGCTCTCGCATGGACAGCGGGTTTTGGTCAGCCCCACTCCGGCTCTCCTCCTTCTCCAGTCTGTCACTGCTCCTTTGCCCTAGGAGCTTCCTTGCGCATCCTGTCGAACAGGACTATTTCTTCCAGCCAGGTGGCCAGTCGAGCCCACCCAAAGCTTGGCCAGCCAGATCTCCTCGGTCCCAGCGACTGCCACACGAACGTGCGTACAGCACTGACCGCGTCAAACAAACCACCACCTCTGGAGCAGTGGAGTCTTGACAGAAACACCGCAGACCACTTACGGCAGGCCTTGTTGCCCTTCCTCAAACATCCATACCTCGATCAAGGATTGGACTGACAGTAACACTGGAAAGTTGCGATAGATCCACCGGCTCCGCTGCTTGCCCCCAAGACCAAACACCGACTAAACATGTCCTCGATTCGTAGATGGCCTCCCCTTGAACAGTACCTGCCTCTTGACCTCCTCCTATTGATCTGACATTTCTTTATTGTTGTGAAGTCACTATATGAAGCGGAAAATCTCTTGCTGTTTCTCACTCCGATAGTCATGCATCCTGAACATCACTGTGTCGGCGCCACTTCGCCATCTGCCACATTTTATATGAGACCTGGATGCTGCTCGTTGAGGGGGTGATGTACTGTCTCCAGCTCCTGCTCGCATCTTCCTCCCATCGACCTCATCAGTCTTCTCTTCCCCTCTCCTTCCTCCGCTTGTGCTTGTCTTCTCCCTCTATCCACTCGACCACCGACGTGGCCTTCTCCTCATCCCCAGCTTCACCTGTGACATATGCTTCCATGGCGATGTCGAGGTTGGGCACACACACTGAAACTTTACTCCACACACCACTTGCTCGGCGCTCGCGATTATGGCCCTTCAATACCTCCAGCACCCTTCCTCGCTTGATTAAGTCGGTCCGCGAACTGATCGGCTGGTAAACTACGGCCGCCCGCATCAGAATGCGACAGACATGGCGCGCTGCAAGATAGTCCCTGCCGGCATGCTGGGAAGGTGCTCCATATGTCGCACATATCCAGCTCTAGTATCGGGCAAATTGCTGGTCGCACCTGCGCCGAAGAAGAATAACGCAGCCTATGCCTGAGACAGTGTCTGGACGGAGAGAAATCCACCATTCCGTTCCTCTCACACGCAGGAACAGGAGCGTCAGCCAGTGTCGGCGTTGATGAGACAGTCCACCCATACCCTCCAGTTGGGCGTTTTTCATGCTGGTCTCCAGTTAGTCACTCAGCTCTTGGAAGTCTTGGCACCATTTGAGTAAGAAACTCTGCAGCTAACACGCCGGATGATAGAACGGTATCCCCTAGATCTTCTTTCACGTCTTCCCGGTGATATGCTGGTCATGCCACCGAAAGTGCTGCGCATCTGATGAGAACTCACAGCAATGCCTTCATTCAGTGTCGCCTATTACACCCAGGAAACTCATAGAGGCATCATGTCCGCGGAATCGCTGAAATAAGATTGCCAGCGCTGAGGGTCCTTTCATTGGACTAGGCATGGCAGTCTAATATAGTTGCGAATCAAACTGAGAGTGGGTGTACTGCATCCCGAAAGTTTTGAAGTCCTCATCGAGATACAGGGCGTAGTCAGAACGGTGTTCTGGTGAGGCGATGTGAATCGATCATCGGCGGCAGGAACACCCCCAGTGTCTCGGCTTATGGGCAGGCCGCCACCTAGTCGGGTCTGCTGAGCATTGAAGCCCGCCCACTCGACAGCCTTGTCACTCTCATGGACTTGCACAGCCAAAGGCGCGTCTCGCTGCTGACTGAAACTCACTGCAGCGATTGAAGCGTGACTCTCTGCGCGACAGACTTTCTTGGAATCAGAGTGGATTCAGCTTGGAAGCGTCCTTGGATAGTGTGCAGCTGTATAGCCTATTGCGCTATGAGTTGCTGAGATGAATCCTCGTGTTTCTTAACCTGCGGGGATCGTGAGCTCGCATTACACCAACTGTTCCTGTCTCGATGATCGCTGCGAATGCTGGGTGAACTCCATGACCATGGTGTGGGGGTTTTCATCCCATTTGGTCTTGTAAATGTTCAAGTCATAGTGTCAGCCTATATATACTATGCTATAACAGTGAATTTACATTAAAGTGTCTTATTTGACGTCCACGCATTTTGACCTGACATTGAACCCCATAATCTAAAAAATACTCCAGAAATGGACTCCCTCCCCTCGAAACCCCTAAAAGAGGTATTGCGATGAACTCTAGGGCATCGAGATCTACAAATTGTAAATTGACCAAAATCCAAGATACGGCGGCGGCCATCTATGAATTCCAAGAAATGCTCAAACGCTTGCACAAGGTACAAACCAAGCTAAATCAGCTCTCCTAACTATCATATAACACATTTCAGAAAAAAGTTCAAATAAATTAACTATTGCAGGTCAACATATTAGAATATAGGCCGGCAAACCGACTAATATTACAAACTTTGCCAAGCAGGCCGCACGTAAGTTTAGTTACTTTGAAGTTAGGTTTCTGACAATATCAGGTTAAATCCTAGAACTAGATTCCAATCGACTGTGCCTATTGTGCCGTGCTGGAGCTTTAGCCGCCTTAGGCTATAAGCATCCAAAAGAATACAGTCAGATTGGATCTATAGTAGTTCTAGGTTAACCACAGTCATAAAACCAACTTCCAAATTAACTAAGATTACCAGTGCCTGCATCCAAGCGTGCGCAATTCTTTGATATTCGCTGGTACAAGCTTGCATGTTAAGCTTGAAACATGCTGCATCCATTGTTTTCGTTTTGCTGCGTTTTCACGTGTAAGGGCCCCACACCAGCATACTAAAACCAGGTGCCGAAACGTAAAAAATATTAATATTATAATATATTATGTATAATTATAAAATATATTATATAATATATAATATATATATATGTTAATAATATATTATATTAATTATTATAAATATTTATTATATAATTATATACATATATATATAATTATATAAACATTATTAACATATAACTATATTATATATATATAAATATTATATAATATATTAAATATTATATGTTAAATAAGTATTATATAATTATATAATATATGTATAAATATATAATATATAATATAATATATTAATACATTATATTACATATAAAGATATTATAATTATATAATATATAATATATTATACTGTAATAATGTATTATTTAATCTATATAAATGATTATAATTTAAATAATATATATAGTTAAATAATGTCTTTATATATATAAAATAATATATTAATTGTAAAATAATGTATTATTTAGCAAATAATACATTATTTAACATATAATATATTAATTATATAAAGGCATTATTAGTCAAATAATGACTTTATACGCTAAATAATATTTTTACCGTTGGCACCCCATAGCGGCTGACGTGACTGATGTCGTCCGAGACATGATACAACCAGCATCTTTTTGGTATTCACTATGCCAATATGATTATATCCACCAGCAACAACTCTTCTACAGCTGTCATCTGCCAGCGATAGTGGGAATTGCTGTGCGGCTGAAAATAGCATTAACACCTCGATACATAGCCTTACATATAGGCCTGGGCACATAATAGGCACACATCGTTCGCACCTTTGGCACGAAATTGCAATGGTAACCTCGTAATTTCTCACAATTTTTCAAGGTGCACAATACATTTTACCAATTCAGTGGTTTCAGTTAGCCATGCATATGTCGCAGTACGTATTAACAGTAGATATTTTACATCTGTTCACCAATTTTGCACAGGCGGTCGATCAAAGTGAAAAGTAGAAAAAACGCTGATTTCTCCGTTTCAATTTCTGCCATAGTTATGTATGTATAAATGGATATTTCTGTCATTACAACTCAGAATAATTTAATTTAACACTCGTTTTATTGGCAACACATTGCTATAAAAAAGCGCATCAGGGTTTGATATTAAGTGCTAGTGATGGGAATCGGCTGGAATTTCATAATCGATTATCGGTTTCCCTTAACCGATCGATAATCGATTATAATCGGATAATCGGTTAATAATAGCATAGATTTAATTTAATCTTAGTTTGTATATACAATTATTATACTTAGCATTCAATATTATCATGTTTTATGATCATGTATTAACTCTGTGAAGGTTGCTGTATGTATATCAATGTCTGTTCCTATACGGTATTTAATCAATTTAAAAAGAAATGGTTTAAATGCCTTTATTAAAACATTAAAAGTTTTAAACAAACATGATCAAGACTTGTTCTTTATTATAGTAAGTAAGTTGTTTCATCAAATATTATTTATATGTGGTTAGCCATCATAATATGCATAAATTACTGTGATGTACAATAAATGTGTATGCATTTAAATTTTGTGATCGATTCTCATCCAATCAGCATCCTTGTGACATGAAATTATGAAGTTCCTGTTATCGTGAGTTTGCTCGTAGCTACGATGTGTTTCTGTCAACGCTACTCTCGTAGCATTAACATTAGTCGTAAGTGTTATCGTAGCATTAACATTAGTCGTAAGTGTTATCGTAGCATTAACATTAGCATTAACTTTACGATGTTTCTGACAACGGGCCCCTGCAGGACTTGTGCTCTACTTGTCATATCAATTCATACATCGTGAGTACAGTTCCTTGTTTGTTTGTTTTGGTATTTCCGATAATCGATTATTTGTTTTCATAATCGATTATCGAATTTGAGACTATAATCGATCGATTTTCGATTATAATCGATCACTATTAAGTGCCATCTTTTATTAGTAATCGTTATGGTCATTTATTTGCATAAATTTTAAATCCGAACAGACGACTTACATTTTCTTCATTTTTCTCTCAAATAAGAACAAGAGCTGCAGAGCGTCTGGGCTCATCTGAGGTCTGTTGCTACGGTTATAAACGTAACATTTAAGTCGTGCGTAGTGACACCTTTGTTAGGCGCAGATATGCAGATACGCAGTTGCATACACATCATTTCAGCAACCTTCTGCATTCTGTATACCTCCCAAATCCCATTGGTTGATACAAATCGCGTGCCTGAAACTCCTGTTTTATGGTGCATTGTGAACATAACCCTAACCCTATTAAAAAAAATCATAATTGTTGTAAAAATTATTTGTTGTTATTAAATTGTTGTAAATAAATCATGTCAATATTTGCGTTAATTGGGAAAAATAGTTAAATGGATAAAGATAGAAAAATACAGAAAACAGGTGAATAATAAAAAATCTGATGGGATTCGATCCAAGGACCTTTGAGCCGTAATCCTGTGCTGTACCCGTTGGGCTATCCAGACATATTGGCTTTCAAAATTATGGATGTGCCATGAATATGAGAACGCTGTGACATCATTGAAGCAGTTCAGTAATCCATGTTTAACCCTCCTCTTGAGGGTCAAAAGGTTATCAGACACTTACTCTTCGCATGTCAGTGGAAAGCACATTTCATGGTCCTTTCAATAAAGTCCTAAAAATGGTAGGTCAGCGCTGAAACAAAAAAGTTTTTCACTCTGTCCGTTAGGCCATGTCCTCAGAAAATGTCTGATATCTGACCATTCCCCCACTGCCCTTTGACATGTGACCTCCAATTTCGCACTGGTGATGGGTTTCCTGCCCATCACACTACACACCAAATATTATGAGCATAGGTCGAGCCGTTCAGATTTGTGCCGCAATTCCATATTTCCTCCTATACCTTAAAGATGACCTGCAATATCTATTTTTATGCGATTATATCTAATAATTTTGGTATATGTTGGGGAAAAATGTCTATATTTCCTGATAGCATGCATAATTCATCTGTAACACGGTCAGCTGGCTCACTATTACACATTTCCGAAGATTGCGTTTGAAAACGGCGCCGAATTTTCCAGCGGCGGATGTGACGTCATTTGAAGAACATGTCTGACACGAACGTATAGAAAGTAACATACCGCAGAGCGATTTTTTGACAGAATCAGCAAGTGAAAGTCATGATAATGAAGATATTGAGTTCTGTGAGACTAGTGAAGCTAGTATGGAAGCAGAAGTAGTGATTGTCCCACATATGTATGAGCCAGATGCATCGGATGAGGAAGTAATAGATGCAGGCAACGTTGAATAATCTGAGACTAAACGTCGATTGCTTGAGTGAATGCAGAATGGTAAGCATACATTTTTACATGTTTAGTGAATTACTGAGAAGGTTTTAGAAGAATGATAGCCTAATGTACCTGTAGTACTAGAACTACAGTACTTTTGTAGTGACTATACTCAGTAACTGACTAGTAGCACTATAGTCTATAGTTGCAAACAGTTGGCTACACCTCGCTGTACAATGGCGATTGGCTCACGCTTGTTGTTGTCATGTTGAAGCATATTATGGTTGAAGCTATATCTAAAATCCGTCGGTCAGCGTTGGGTGTGTACTAGTATAACTAGTCTCGTGGCCGTTGTTAAGCTAGTATGGGCTCAAGTCTGAAATATTATTTATGCACCCTCTATATTTAGCTATTGCAAATTAGCAGTTGTAATACTAATGGTTAGCTGTTAATTTATACTATAGTTTCTATTATTCAAGCGGCACACGTTGCTCAAATGTACATTTCGTAGCGCCCTTTGCTTAGTCTACATATCTGCTGTACTCGTCTATCTACCTACTGTTGATGTTACTACTATAACAAGAGCCGCAGAGCGTCTGGGCTCATCTGAGGTCTGTTGCTACGATTATAAACGATGGTGAGTTTGCAGTGAATACCAGCAAACGTATTCCATTCACACGAATTGGTGTTGATCAGGCGATGGAACACCTCAACAAATCAACGAAAGGCCAAGGAGGGATCTCTGGAATAACAACATCTCCAGCAACGCTCTTGAAGTTTTGTCTCACTGCTCCGGAGCTGGCACGACTTGCTGATGAGTCAGAACGACTTGTAGCTACTACTAGCACAATTGCCCCACCACAGCATCATCAACTCTCTCAGTCAAAAATTGCTCGCCAAGAACGCTCCATTGCTCAGCTGAAGTCAGTGTTAGCACCCTGCAACTTATTCCAAATGGAGGCTGGTAGCGAGAACTCGGACTGCAGAGGCTGCATGTACAAACTCATGTCAAATGAGATCATCCCAGACGAAGTTTACCAAAGTATCCTAGCAACAGAGGAGAATGGCATGAAAGCTTACAAAACGTTTGTAGAGGAACGCATCATCTGGAGTCGCAATTTGTGGGACAAGATGACCAAAGTCAAGCAGAAGACATGGATGTCTACTGCAAAAGACATTAAATTGAACACAGGGTCTGAGGTGTTGACCTTGAAGGCAACCACATCACTCTTTGCCAGACTGCTGGTTATTGCCTGGTCATCTCGAGAGAGTGTCGATCTGGAAGAAGTGATTGGCATGCATGAATTTGCCTACACAAACAAAGTTCTCATGGCACCGGATGGATCTATTCATCCCACTACGGACAAGAGCACAGTGATAAAGCTTCTGGAAGATTTGGTGGCCAACGACACAGTTCAAACTTCTGCACAGCCCACCGAGTTTGAAGAGGGATTGGAGACGTGTCTTGTAGTTGATGGAATGGGAGTGGTACAGGAGTTGATGGCAATCAAGAATTTCAAGACTTGCAAAGAGCTTGCAACATCCTTCGTCACACTCATTGACTCAAAGGCTCGAGGATATTGCACACACACACGCACGCACACACACTGTCACACAGACACACACACACACACACATATATATATATTATAATTTATATATATATGTGCATGCAGCTACGTTACGTATACGTACGGGACAGATACATTGTTTTTTGATTAGTATATAATATAGATAATAGAGAGTGCAAGATGACTTTCAAAATTTTTATAGTCAGCTGCTATATGATCCAGGTATATCTACATCACAGAAAAATGTTGCTTACTGCTTCGCAAATCCTTGCTGAAAAGCCATGAATGATGAAGTTGGCAGCAGTCCTCCGTGAAGTAGGCCTACTTCATACACACTGTACGTAACACAGCACGCTTGAGTCGGACACCACCCACTTCGCTCGCTTAGATTTGACAAATGCTGTCCATTTCTTTCTCCGATTTTCGTCTTTCGGCCACTTATACAATCCACTACCTGTGTGCGAGCAATTGGCCGCAACACATCTGCGTGGCATCGTAAAAATGTGATAAACTTGACTCGAACTACAAACCCGCCCGTTCACTTCTATAGTTAGCGTCGCGTAACTAGGCGAGGTGCGTTCTTCAAATGACGTCAGATCCGGAAATTGCCGATGTTTGCCGAACGCGAGTGGATTTTGACAGGTGATGTTTCAAGGGCCATATCTTAAATATGCGCGATTTTTCACACCACAAAAAATATCGGAATGCCAGACAATTATTATACTCATGTTTATTTATCTATTATTTGTGGTTTTTAGAAAGATATTGCAGGTCCTCTTTAAGTTAAGGGGGAAATATTCCCCCTCCGTTCACATATCTTGACCTTTGACCCTTGACCCCCAAAT